TGGAGATGGAGTCACTGAAAAGTAATTAGGTTTAGATGAGGTCATAAAGGTGAGGCCTTCATGATGGGGATCCGTACGCTTATAAGAAGAGCTTGCTTCTTCTGCCATGTGAGAACACAGGGAAAAGGAAGCTATCTGCAAACTAGGAAGAGTCTTCACCAGAACTCAACCATACTGGCACTCTGACCTTCCAGCTTCAGAAAGCTTCCAGCTTCCAAAAGATAAATTTCTAATGTTTAAGCCACTGGTCTACAGTATTTTATTAAGGCAGCCCAAGCAGATTCGGTGTCAGGGCAATGCAGTATAAAAAAAGACTCCACTGGCCATGGCTGGCTTTGAAGATGGAAAGGGGCCATAAACCAAGGAATACAGGTGGCCTCTAGAAGCCAGAAAAGACAAGGAAAGAAATTCTCCCCTAGAGCCTCTAAGAAGGAGCCCTGACAACACCTTCATTTTAGCCCACATCAGGCTTCTGACCTGCAGAACTGGAGGATAAATTGTGTCATTTTAAACCACTCAGTTTGTGGTAACTTGTTACAGCAGCAACAGGAAACTAATACACAAGATAGTCAAAGAAGGCTAATGCTATGTCAAGTCTCAGCTTGACAGAGATGGGTGGGGAAGAATGGCAAGATCCCATCCAGGTAACCAGTATGAGGGAGCATGTTTACAGACCAGGGTGGGGCTGTGCAAAGACACAGAAATATAGACATCAGTCATGAAGCAGTGAGAGGACAGCAGCCTAGAACAGAGGGACACAGCGGCAGAGACAGGCTTAGATGGGGCAAATCTATGACAAATCAGAAAATGAGACAGGAAAGCCCCAGTCCCAAAGAAGTTAAGTAATATGAGATGGGAAAAGAATATGGCAGTGTGAGGCATCAATGCTAATTTACTCTTGCTGTTCTTTTAATCATACATAAAATGAGTACCCCTCCTATACAAGGAGTTCCCTTGGGTTGTTACTCTTACACTCAACACGGTGGGGAATGTCTCCTTTAAAGCTGTCTTCAGAGCCTACAGCTATACAGTTATAATGCACCTACCCAGCAGCTAAGTTCCTTATTGAATATGCCCGACTTATTTCTAACAGCTAGTCCTAAAAAAAATTTAATCTATCCTTAGACTCCTCTACTAAATATATTCAAAAGAACGTGCTACTAAAAGCAGTTTTAGAGAAGAGTTCTAAAAACACTGTGAACGATGTCAGCAAGATCACAGGAAAAAGTTAGAGTTTCCTCAGGTGACTTCTTTGCAGTAGACAATACTTGTTCTGAAATAAAGATCAGTACTCTGGCTTAAAAAAAAATTCAGACTCATGAACTTACAATAACTCAAATTTCCCATGACATAATAGATGAATAAAAGCTGACAAAAATAGGAGAACCCCTCCAAGGTCAGCCACCAAGCGGCCTGCCGTATGTGTGGGGCACTGGAAAGAACACTAGCCAGAGGAGCTGTGTTAAAATTCCAGCCCTGTCATTTACTAGCTCTGTGACTTGAAATAAACTTCTCAACTTTCCTGGGCCTCATTTTCCTGTGATAAAATGGCAAGATGTCATTTCAAGCAGTCAGAAAAGCACGTGCAGAAGGGAAAAGGCACAAAATGTGGCTCACTTGGAAAACTGCAAATTATCTCAAAGAACGACACAGAAGAGTCAGTAGGGGCCTGGACAGGGGGCCTGGGTTCAGGAGATGCACAAGAACTTGGAACTCGTGTGGTATTCTGCAGTATTTACCCACCTGAGGTCTATGGTGGGGTGATCAAGGGAGGCAGTAGTAGTTTCATAGACAAATGAATTTGGGAAAGACCAATATCCTCTCACAATTCACATTAGCGTATTAAGCTCTTTGGATAGTTCTGGAATGAGAGAAACCTGTTTCTTGTACTTTGTCCCAATTTCTCTACAACTCTAAAGCCCACAGAGGCCTTCCTCATTTCTCTCATGCCCTGGAACTTAATTCCATGAACTTCAAAAAGGGCAATGAAAAAAACACCACAGAGTTTTAAGCAGAGAAGTAACATCACTAGGTTTGCATTTTAGGAGTAGGGGGACAGGAAAAGGAATGAGGTTTGTGGCACATACTCAGCAATATAGGTCAGCAAGGCAAGTCAGACAGAGTGTTGTGAAATTTTTTTTTTTTTTTTTTGAGTTGGAGTCTCACTCTGTCACCCAGACTGGAGTGCAGTGGCACTCTCCCGGCCACCGCAGCCTCAACCTACTGGGCTCCAGCGATCCTTCCGCCTCAGCCTTCCAAGTAGCTGGAACTACAGGCATGTGTCACCATGCCTGGCTAATTTTTGATTTATTGTAGAGATGAGGTCTCGCCAAGTTGCCCAGGCGGGTCTCGAACCCCTGGGCTCAGGCAATTCAATCACTTCAGCCCCCCAAAGCGCGGGATTACAGCCTGAGCCACCAAGCCCAGCCTGTTGTGAAATTCTTAAAGGCTAGTCTCCTGACACCAAAGCACTGACACCATCTCCCCTCGAATGTCTGTTTATAAGCTGTGCTGCCACTCACTGGGCAGCCTTGGGAGACACACAAATCCCTCCTCCAGACTAGCAGCAGTCACATAGTCAATGTTGGCACAAGAAGTAGATTATTTCACTTTTGTTTCTGTTAAAAGCAGCCTTTTCAACCTATGACTATAAAATCATTTTTTAATGTGACCAGATCCCTTTTAAACTATATGTGTATATTTAGTATAATTCCCCAAATTATGCTAAAAAATTCCAAGTGAACACAGTAAAAAAAAACAAAACTCCCAAAATACTTTTGGAAATATGATGTTTGTCAACAAAACTGAGTGTCCCATTTCTTACAGATTTCTTAAAGTCTTGAAGATAGTCACTCAGCATGCCAGATATACTGAAGACATATGGTGGCTCTGAAACAGAGCAGGCCACTGAGCACAATCCTGGTCAGCCATAAGACACGTAGGGCTGTAGTTCTGGCTCTATAAACATCATGGGAACACCCTTAATTCTCTGATCCCCAGGTTCCTCTTGGAATTCTTGGAAGCTGGAACTCATTTGGAATTTTGCAGGGCCTAAGAACTATGGCAGGGTGATCAAGAGAAGCAATGACAGTTTCACAGACAAATAAATTTAGAAAGGGTAAGATCAATACCCTTGTTTGTTTAACAAAAATAGGTTGTCAAGATTAGCAACATTTATAGAAAGCACAAGGCATACCATAAGTGTTCAAAAAAATAAAAACTATCACTATTCCTCCCTGTCCCCCTCACTTTATCCAGGTAAAAAGCTAGAAGGAGATGATTTCCTTCCACATCAATTTTAGAATCAGTCTGTCAATTCCCCTGCTAGAATTTTGATTGGGGTAAATCTTGAGATCAATGTGGGGAGAACTGACATTTACCAATAGTGAGTCTTCCAACCTATGTACATCATCTACTTCTCATTTATGTCTTCTTTAATTTTTGATCAACCACATTTTATAGTAGTCAATGTAGAGTTCTTATAAATCTGTTCCTGAATACACTTAGCAATGCTTAACTGCAACAGCAAAATGTAAAAGTGATCATTCTGCACTTGGGATTTCCTAATAGACATTTCATGATCGTGGCTTGCACTGCCTGCAACTGGAGGAGAGTCAAAAGCAGCGACTGGAGCTTGTGCTCACACTATTCTAACTGGGCCAGAAGGCATCAGGTGGGCTGTGTATGTCCAAATTGTTCTACTTCTTCCTGCCATCACTAAGGCATTCCTTGTCTTACTGGTCCAATCGCCTCCTTTACCACAAGCTAGAGGGGACATGGTATAAATAACAAGGGGCCTGTTTCTTCGGGGACAGACCCTGTGTCTCTTCACCCTCAATCCTACCCTCCAGCACCCAAACTCCTTCTGCACCTTAGCAGGGGCATTTCCCACAGGCAAACCATCAGTTCTGTTTCAATTTCTCAGGGACTCCTCGCAATTTCTAGACTCCAAAGGCTGCCATTTTCTTTTCTTTCGAGTTGGAGTCTTACTCTGCCGCCCAGGCTGGGGTACACTGGCATGCTCCCAGCCACCGCAGCCTTGACCCGCTGGGCTCAGGTGATCCTTCCGCCTCAGCCTTCCAAGAAGTCAGAACTACAGGTGTGTGCTACCCCCCCCAGCTAATTTCTTTTTTTTTTTAATTGTAGAGATGTAGTCTCACCATGTTGCCCAGGCTGGTCTCAAACTCGCGGGTTCAGGCAATCCTCTCACTCTGTCACCCAGGCTGGAATGAAGTGTCAAGATCACAGCTCACCACAGCAGGGACTACACATACACACCACCACACTCAGTTAATTTTTTTTTTTTTTGATAGAAACAAGGTCTCACTAGCTTGCCTAGGCTAGTCTCAAACTCCTAGGCTCAAGTGATCCTCCTGCCTCAACCTCCCAAAGTGTTAGGATTACAGGTGTGAGTCACTGTGTCCAGTCGTTTTTGAAGTACTGTCTACCACTTGTAGGTTTTGTATACATGCAGACCTGTCACATGTGAGCAGCCTATCATCTTTGAGTCAAAAGTTTCATGGGGTTTTAAAATATATATATATATTCAAGTCTAGATCAAATATTTTGATGAGTTGATTGTGTCTGCATATTTATTCCTTTTCTTCCCAAACTAGAAAGGCAAGAACTGCATAAGAGAAATGGAAAGGGCACTCTGACATAATTAATTAAACAACAGAGGCAGGAGTGAGACTGGTGTCCTTGTCAGCCAGGTTGAAAAAGCAGGTTCATCCAGGACTGCACCCCAGAAAACAGAAAGCACAACATGGAATAAACAGTATGGTGAAGGATGGAGGACAAAATTCCACACCTGAACTAGACAACTGGCAAAACTAAACACACTTCTGAAAAATTAATGTCCCCACTTACTGCCATAATTTGCACACCCAAAGAAAGAAGTTTAGTTCGTTAATTCATTAATGATGGTCAATCTTATGGCACCAGGACTTCAAATGTAGTGCTTTCTACACAGAAATCCCTAAGGAAGAATGTATACTCACCCAGTCCAGAGATGTTTATTGCTTTCACGGATTTCTTCATTTTGTAAAGAACCATGCGGTCCACGTCCAAAGCCTAAAATATAGAGAATATGCTCATTAAAACGTGTTTGCACTTAGACCATACTACCAGAGAGTGCCACATGAGAGCCACCCTGACGGCCTCTGCTTGACTCTACTAGGCTCCCCAGGGGCCATTTCTGTGGGACAAATCCTCAGTGTGGTCTGGAAGATTAGTTTGCAAACAAAAACTGCATTGAGCAGAAGTAGAGTTGGCAATTACTGAAAACCAACTCCTCCTCCTGCCTTATCCACCTGAACCATGTGAGCTGTACCTCTTGCCCACAGTACTGGTTGGACATTATAGTCTTCTGCAGTGTAATGAGTCAACCCGGACAAACTCTGCCTCCACCACATCTCCTGGATGTGCCCCGCCTGCCAGAGACTGCCACTGTGCCCGTGCTCCTTTCCAAGGATAGCCAACTTGCAGGACCAGCCCCACCCTGGCCAGAGTCACCATGATCTAGGGGAGGCAAAACCACTCTGGACTTGGAAAGATCCAAATATCCATTTGTTTGTTAACTGTGTTATAAGGCATGTCCTAATCCTTTCCAAGCCTCAGATTTCTCTTCCAGAAACTGGCAGTAACAGTTCTTACTTTGCAGGGTTGAATGATTAAATAAACACACTTTATGTATTTAATATTCAGCAAATATTTGTAGATCAACTATTACACAGTAGCAGGATATGGCATACATGATGCCTGGCACACAGAAGATACAACAGTATTTGTTCAACGGGTAATCGAATCTGGAGATTTAATAATTATACCTCTACTTTCACCATAGATACAAAAGTCAAATTCCCTTTTAACCTACTTAAACAACATAGAAGAACAAAGGATGCCAGCTTCGAGTTGTGACAGGAGGGAGAGAACATTTATGAACTAGAATAGTGACACCAATCACAGACGAAATGAGGCACCCAGTCCTATAGCTGGCATGGTGTAGATATTCAGTAACTATAATTATTATAACCTATGGTGAGTTTTGATCATAAAAACTGCAATGGCCTACCCCTTAAACACAGCACAACACCTCAGAGCAATGGATTCTGGCCTTCCAGAATCACCTCTTGATCAAGTTTTCATAGAAGTATCAAATGTCCTAGTTCTAATTCAACAATGACAATTTTATTGGTTGCTAAAAACAAGCTGTGATTAGTACTGACAATTTTAAATGGAAAAATAATCACAAGACACCAGACATTTGACAGAGCACTTATAATACAAAGAGAAGCTACAATGACATCATTATAACAAAGAGAAGTTATAATAACGTCATTACACATTTGTACAAATTCATCAAATGTACAAGACCAAGAATGAACCCTAATGTGGAGTATGGGTTTGGGCTAATGATGTGTCAATATAGGCTCACCAACTGTAACAAAAGTGCACCACTCTGGGGGTGATAGGGGAAGGTCAAGGGACAGAGTGTATCTGTAAAGTTCTGTATTTTCTGTTCAGTTTTGATGTGACCCTAAAACTAAAAATGTCATTTAAAAAAAGATATTATTTTCTGCCATGCTGTAGAAAAAGGGTGATAAGGACTGATACAAGATAGTCAAAAATTCTGACATATACAGTTAACGCTTATCTTTCTAAGTGGTTAACTCGAATACATTTCTACCTTTCTCTGAAATATGAAAGGAAATTTGGAAACAGTAAATAACCCACGAGAACTACCACTGAACTCTCATTCTCACAAAGTCTCATCACTTCTCCTCCCCAACCTGGAAACCAACAAATAACATCCTGGAACACGGGCATGGGCTCCGGGAGCCTGTGGTTGGCTTTGCCCACACCGACAAGTAGACTGAGGATAGGCAAAGGACTGTGTCACAGAGTTCAGTTCCTGCAAACAAATACAAGCTCAATGTGCTCATTCTGTTTAAGTTCCTAGTACCCGGTGAAGGGCTATTATTTAAAACCACACATTTAATCTAATAACTCCAGCCTAGCACTCTGACAGAATCTGGTCCTGCCCAGTCTTTGCAGTTGTCCAGAAGAGAATCTGACCTGCATTCAAATGATAAAAGCCCTTCCTCTTTCTAAGCCTTCTACAGACAGCAGAAGGTATCCACTGACACTAGCCTGGCTAGGATCTCTGGAAGCATTAGAAGTCAGACCACCACTCTTATAAAGCATTTTCTGTGTGCCAAGAAGTATGAAGAGAGAAAATTTCATACATAAAGAAGAAAAGCATACAAAGAAGGTTCAAGGGGCAGCTCCCACTTGGTCATTGAAAGGTGTCCTGATGTCCTAATGTCCTCAGAACGTCTTTAGCAAACTTTGAAAACCTTCCTCTAAACCTTGCTTGTTTCTCCAGCATCATCTCCTGACACACTCCCTCACTGTCATATGTGCCCAAATTTCTGTCATAATGAACTACTTTAGCTCCCACCCTTAACTTGCTTCTTCTCTTTTTCTCTTTTACTTCCAAGTATTTGTACATATCTACTCTCCTAGCTTTCTCAATCAGATTTCAGCTCTCCTGCCTCTGATGCTCCCCTAGATGACAGTGATTGTATGTCTACAGGAGTTTGGCTCAATCATGCTAAAACAAACAAACAAACAAAAAAAAAAAAACATGGGGATTGAGGCCATGGTATACTCCAGTGTGGAAAGCTGATCACAGATGACACACAACAGCACAGTTATTTATTTATTTTGAGTCGGAGACTCATTCAGTCACTGGAGCTGGAGGACAATGGCATGCACATGACCACTGCAGCCTCGACCTGCTGGGCTCAGGTGATCCTTCCATCTCAGCCTTCAGTAGCTGGAACCACAGGCACGTACCACCATGTCCAGCTAATTTTTGATTTATTGTAGAGATGAGGTCGCACCATGTTACCCAGGCTGGTCTCGAACCCAGGGACTCAGGCCATCCTCTTGCCTCAGCTTCCCAAAGTGCTGGGATTACAGGTGTGAGCCGATGTACCCAGCTAATAGCACAGTTATTAACACAGTTAATAACAAATTTCCTCCTACATTATATCATGGTACACATCCTTCCCTGATCATTTAATGCATAAAAATAAAAACTGTAAAAATGTGCCACCATGTGGAACCTTCCACCTTTGTTATTAAAGGGGAAGTATTGTTTCCTGAACTCAGGGCCAAGTGATTAAAACAACAACAACAACAACAAAACCACTAACTGTTGGTTTTCTAAAGTCTGTTAAGTTGAGATTGGAAATAAAGGCAAGGTAGGCAGCTGAGGTAATTTTTAATTAAAATTGCAAGCAGGAAAAGCAATTACCGCCCTACTCAAAAACATACCTTTCATTACGGTGCATATTTATAGATAATTAAGATTAAACTTGGTCAGGAGGAGAAGTTAAAATGACTGTTTAAGACTGAGTGCTAGAAAAACTCTTGTGCCAGTTATATATATATATAGCACTGGAAACTTAGAGCAACAAAAATAACAAAACTTGAGAGCAAAGGTGCTTCCCAATCAGGCTGAGATATCTAACTAGATTAGGTACTCACCTACTATCCCCCTGCCAAAACAAAAACTCTATTCAAGCTCAGGAGGAGGAGGAAAAGCTGCAACTTTCACGAGAACTTATGTGTGAAAACTACAAACACAGGTAAGAACCTAACAGGGCCATCAAGTCCTAACAGGATCTGCATAGTAGCTTACATCTGGCCAAACCTCATTAATTCTGAGGAGCCAGACTGAAGCTGACCTTCAGTTTGTAAAACAAGTTTCACAGAGCAAATTTATCACATAAACAAGACCGTGGGGATGTGTCTCAAATATTTCTGAGGAAAATAAACAACTGTTTTCAACTACTTAAAGTCTCCTTAATATCTCACCAACAAGGGTACCTGCATAATCAATGCTTGTATACCTAACCCTGAATTGTACCCCACATCTTTATAAGAAAAAATTAAAAATAAATAAAAATAAAGTCTCTTTGGAGTCCCCAAACTGTTCTATTAACAGCCACTGATTCCTCTTTATTCATGAAAGCAGCTCTACTCACAATTGCTGCTGCTCAGCCATGGGCCATCGCAGCTGGGGTGGTGTGAGGGGAATGTGGGTTGGGGCGGTGGCTACCATGTGCAGCACAGGTATAGGAAAGTCCACCACAGGAGACACCACCAAAGAGCTGTTCACTTTTCAATAGGGTAGCCATAAGCCACATAGGGAGGTTTTGATCAAATTAATTAAAATGAAACGAAGTTTAAAATTCAGTTCCTCAAGCCTTGCTATCTTCCCCAAGAGCTCCAGTCACACAGGCCACATTGGCAGGCTCTGAACGTGGCACCCCTCAAGTTTCTCCTCCTCTACTTCTGCAGACCCCCTCCGTGCCGCCCGAGCCACTGAAGTCACTCAGGAGGCCCGTGCCCTTGCTCTTCCATGGCTTGGCATAAACATCACCTCATGACATGCCCTCTTCTGTGTGGGAGGCTCATCTACCTTTTCTGCAAAACCCTACAGCACCTCCATTCTGCGTCACCACAGTCTGGACAGTGCGAGCCAAGTCCAGTCTGATTGAGGAAATTACCTTGCTCAAGGTGGGGACACAATGGTCCACAGGTGGCCAGTTTCTGTACGGCCAAAAGCTAAGGATTTTACAGAAGAAAAATTCCAACTCACGTGATAATAGGATGATAGGGAAACCCAACTTTGAACCCCAATTAAGAAAAATGTTATCCCCTCCAAAAGAATCCCACTCTTCTCATGAGTAGACCTACATTACCCAAAAAAGTGCTCCATTATTATTACTGTATTTTGAATTTCGTTACAAAAACTTTGTGGAAATTTATTTTCTGTCTTATTATATAAGCATCCACATAATATTCTTAGCTTTGCCTGCAAGCCTAAAATATTTACTAACTCGCCCTTTACAGAAAAGGTTTGCCAACTCCTGTTCTTGAGGATCCACGCAAAAAGTTTCTTCCACAGCATCAGCCAGTCCCTGTGACTCCCGGCCCTGATCTGGAAGCACTCTCTGGAGGTGGTGACACAGTAATAGTCTGTCCCAGCACCCTG